TTGTAGGGAAGATTTTGGTGTTTCCAGAGAGGATTAAATACCAGATTTGGGCTAGGATATTTGTTTTCCCCACCAAGGGTACATCTACCTTAAACAGAGACTCTCTCCTCACCACGGCTACCCCTTGCAATGAAAGAAACTATGCTTGGTTCTTCCCCCACCCCACCGCAAGTAAACAGCACTCACCTGGGTGAACAACTCCAAAATATGGCAATGGTGCACTGGTGTATCCTGTCTCCAGTAGCAAGGTTTCCCAGATTATGTGGAGCACTTATTGCTCGTTTCACTTATTGCTAATTTTTTACATACTTCTTACTCCCAAGGACATTTGGACACTTGGTTACAGAGACTCAAAATAAAAGATTAGTATTTTCCGGGCCAAGCCCGTGGCGCACTCGGGAGAATGCGGCGCTGGGAGTGCAGCAGCGCTCCCGCCGCTGGTTCGGATCCTATATAGGGATGACCGGTGCGCTCACAGCACTCACTGGCTGAGCGCCGTGCGGCTGGTCTCAAAAAGGACAAAAAAAAAAAAAAAAGATTAGTATTTTCCTTGGACCAACTAAAACTTGCAAGGGGAGCTGCATGACTTCAAAATCTTGTTGCCCTTCCCTTTCAACACTGAGTAGAGAATGCTCACTTTCGGGAAAAGTGACCTTTTCTGTTAGGAAGTTTATTATTCTCATCTCAAGGGATTAATGTTTTGGTGTTACTTCATCAATTTTGAAAAATCAAGATGTTTAGAAAATTTGCCAGTTGGAATTCTTTGGAATAGCGTTTGGCTGGCTAACAAGGGATGCTGGCTGTTGCTTTTCTCTGGTGTTCTCAACCTTTTCTGGAAGAGAATGTCAGTTTCTTCTCAATCAGACTTTTTTTCTTTCGTTCATTTATTCATCCAGTTAAGAAATACGTCTTTTGTGTACTTACTAGGTGCTAGGTGCAGACCCTGCTCTAAAGGAGCCTCCAGTCCCATGGGGAGAGGCAAGTGGGGAACATAAATAAAAGTCATATAAGATGACATAGTGGTTCCATGTTTTGGAAATTCAGAGGAATGAGATCCTCTAGGTAGAAGGCCCAAGAAAGGCCTTGTGGAAGAGATAGCTTCTTAAGGTGGGGCTCAAAGAATAGGAAGGACCTGGCCCGTCACAGACGGAGAGAGGGTGGGCGAAGAAGAAACCGTTGTGCGGGGCCATGGAGGTCGCCTCAAGCTGTGCTGTCCCGTAGAAATGTAACACGAGCCACATGTAATTTTAGATTTTTCTAGTAGTCACATTTAGAATGACGTAAAAAGAAACAGGTGAAATTCATTTTGTAATTAGTTTGTTTAAATTGTAATAATATATTTGATTGAACCCCGCATATCCAAACTATGATCATTTGAACATGTATCATTTGAACATTGAATCAATATTAAAAAGTACTGAGATACTTTCTATCCTTTTTTTTCACACCAAGTTATCAAGATCTGGTGTGTATTCTTCTAGCACATTCCAATTAGCACTTGGCCACCTTGCAAGTGCTCAGTAGCCAGATATAGCCAGTGGCCCCGCATGGGCTGGCGGGGTCTGGAGTGAGAAATGACTTTGGGAAGGTAGGAAGCTCCTGTCCTCTTGCTCACCTGAGCACTGACGAGGAGTGACTCACAGCACAGTGTTATAATTCCTTACATTTGATTAGCACTTTAGAGAGGAGAAAGCAGGCACCTTTACCCACGTGCCCATTCGATCCTCATAACCACCTGTGATGCAGGCAGGGCAAATATTTTAGCCCCTTCCACAGGTGGGAAACTGAGGCTCAGAAAGATTCAGTGACCATCCCAGGGCGGCAGGGTCATAAATGGAAGGGCAGGAATTCATTTGTTACTTTCTTCAGAGAATGGGAAGAGAAAGCCTTGGCCCTGAACTCATCAGCCTTGCGTCATTTTTGGACAAGGAGATCTGATGTTCATAGAATCTGATGTTCATAGAATCTCTCGGCACTGGGGAGAGACACAAGATTCATTTGTTACTTTCTTCAGAGAATGGGAAGAGAAAGCCTTGGCCCTGAACTCATCAGCCAGTGTGCCTTGCGTCATTTTTGGACAAGGAGATCTGATGTTCATAGAATCTGATGTTCATAGAATCTCTCGGCACTGGGGAGAGACACAAGGTCGTCTCACTGCCACTTGGCCCCTGCTGCCTCCTCAGACACCCTCCGCGTCTTCCCCTGGGTTAGTATTTCCAAAGGGAGGCAGTAGGCACGTTCCCCCGCGCTGCATGTTCCGTCCTCGTAGCTACCTGTGATAAGGCCGGGCGAGCACCTCAGCCCGCTCCGGCCAGGGCGAACACTGGGATGACATGTCCCTTCTCCACTCCCCACCTAGGACCTCCCCACTCTGCACCCGGTGAGTTGGGCTGTGAATCCTGGGAGACCTGACTGGCTGATGTTGGAGAGACCGAGGGGGGAGCCAGCTGCAGGGTCTCTGAGGAAGCTGCCGTGCACACCTGTGCAGCTACGGGTCACATCTGTCCAGCAGTGAAGGAAGGAAGCTGTTCCTCAGGGATTTTAAGAATTCATTAATTAGTAGAATGAGAAAAGGGGAGGTGAAGGAGGAGGTGGCAGTCCCCAGGGTACAGACAGTATGAGGCCTGGCGGTTTCCGTCACTGCGTGTTCTGCAGGTGTGCGGATGGGGTATGTGCCCACTTCTCACTCCAGGAGCGGGTGCCAGGGGCCTGGGTTTCCTTAACATCTTTGTTTTACAGATATGAAACTCGAGGCCAAGGAGTAGGAGAGGAAGAGGCTTTTTTTCCTTTTTTGAGAATAAGCCAGTGCAGAGCTGCCAGATTAGTTTGAAGTGCATTGATCGTGGACCATGTGCAGCCGCCCACACCTGTGAAGAGGTGGCCGTGCTCTTGAGGAAACAGAGTGGCCAAGTGGCAGTGAGAGCTGCCTCTCTGCTATACTTGAAACCAAGCTTAGTCACCAAGATGATACCACCCTTTCCCACTGGGTACTAAAATTTCATTCAGTGCTCTGGCAGTTACTGGGGGACTCAGGTTTTCTTAGTCAGCTACACCTTTCTGGGTGAAAGAACTGCATCAGTTAAGTGTGTCTTGGGATGTACTGGGATGTGGGTTTAGGAATGTCCTCAGGCCAGCACTGTTTCTCTCCCAGGCCCAGGATTGTGCCCCGTCATATGTCCTAGACGGCCCACCTGTGATCTGCTTCCGAGGGTCTTTCTTTCCACCAAAGGAACTGAGAACGAAGGCGCTTTCATTTCCAGAGTCACCTGAGATTTGTCTTATTTACCTCTTTTCTTCATGGCACGGGGACCCGCTCTGGAGCAAATGAGTTTGCTCAGCTAGAGCCAGTAGGGTCAGCTCTTTGTCTGCCCCTCCCACTCTGTCCTCTGGCATCCGAAAACCCTGGTGACGAGAGTCCTGCCGCTGTTGCTTACTTGCTGCGAGTCCTTGGGCAGAGTACTCAAGCTCTCTGATCCTCAGTTTCTCCATTGCTCAAAGGGGAATAATAATTCCTGTCTCCCATAAGTTTATAGTGAGGAACAAATGAAGTTTTATAGTTATAAATTAATTGTACCTAGTACATTCTTGGCATGTAGCAGGTATTCGGTAGTCATTCCATTTTTGTCTCTTCTGGTCTCTTTACTAAGTTTAGAAAAATGAAAGAGAAATGTTTACTTCTCTTTTGATTTGAAATTATTGAAAAATTTCAGTAGGCCTTGGGCGGGAGCTCGCGGTAGTGCATGCATATTCCTGCTGGCCGAGCACATGTGAACACAGCCAAGAATCTGGGGGGTTTTCTGCCAGCGGGACTGACTCACTCGCGAGGGGCCCTGCCTGGCTCAGGGGGAGGCAGGGCTGAAGCACCACATTAGGGCATGTTCCGGGGAAGTGGATTCTCTGAATAACTTGGATGGTTCACTGGAGCATTCAGGACAAAAGCCACCTGGAAGACGGAGATGGTCACCCCCACATAACCCAGAGTGCCCAGAAAGTCCGTCACTTGGTAAATGCTCAGCAGCAGTGATCCGTCCCTTTACACCCTAGGAAGTTGTTCTAGATGTTGGCCCTGCAGACCTGAGGAGGGCAGAGGGCTGTAGTCTGTGCTCTTAGCGGGGCCCGGCATGAGCCGTCTTGGAGTCAGCCCTTGCAGGAGCCCTTGACTTGGCAGTGAGACCTTTTACCCCAACTGTGGGCTCATTTCTGTCAGACGTTAGCCGTCCCCTTTCAGCATCAGGGAGGAGAACTGGACCCACTTTTCAGGTGCCACACTCAGTCTTTGTAAGTCGTTGGTGAGTGTCGTGTTCTCTCTGTGAGCACGGCTGGCAGAACTAGAGAGCCCTGTGATTCGTACCATTTTAGAGGAAAGAAGACCAAACCCTGGAGATCATTCATTCAGTCTCCACTGCAGAGGTCCAGGGAGGTTCGGTGTCTTAAGTCCTGTAGCTACCCACGAGTTCCCTCTGCACTTGGCTCCCATTTCCTAGTCCATTCTCTTGTTCCACAGTCTTCATCTCCTATATCCGTCACCCAAGGGATTGGTTTGCCCTAGATGGGTGCAGTCTCATGATGGCAGTCCTCAGCTGACTTAAGTCTCCTGCAGTTGCACCCGCACTTTGTGTGTGAAGCCCTTGCCTACAAAGTAGCAGAACTATTTGGGAATTTCATGAATCCATTCACTTCCCAGCACGCATGATCTTAAGGCTTATACCTTGGAGAACCTCATGACGCTATTCCCAGCCACACTTGCACATAGTATGGCCACAAAACCTAGTGGCAGAATTGAATCAAAGCACTCCTTTGTCTACTTGAGACCTGTAACGTCGAATTCAGCGTTGGGGTGGGATCACAGTTCTCTTTTTTGAGACGTAAGGAGTAAGTTGTTGCTTCAAGCACCTTTCTGGGCAGGTGCCATACAATATGCTTTATGTTCTTTTTCTCCTCATTCCCTCCCCCACCCAGACCCTCCTAACATTTTGGTTTTTTCTTTCCCAGAGTCAGCTTGAGAAGGAAGACCAAGCTTGAGGTGGAGTATCCATGGAGGTGTGGAGCCTTGTCCCCAACCTCTAACTGCAGAACTGGGATGTGGAGCTGGAAGTGCCTCCTCTTCTGGGCTGTGCTGGTCACAGCCACACTCTGCACTGCCAGGCCGGCCCCGACCTTGCCTGAGGAAGGTAAGGCACAGGCTGAGGGTCAGCCCAGACTCCTGGGCTTCACAAGCAGGGTCCGCTGGGACAGAGGTGATGTGGTTGGCTGGGAAGCCTCCTTCCCAGGTGGCACAAAGGGCTCCTTTCCTGAAGGAGAGGCTCCGCGACACCTGGGCTGGCTTGGACCTGGTTATAAACATAGCCAGCCTCATCAGAGGTTGGGATCGTAAAGGCTGGTAACAGCCATTTTTCAGAGGTGACATGCTCAAGGTGGGTTTGTGCTTTTCTTTTCCTGAGGAAAGAACATTTGATGGGGACCCTAGAGCTAGCCCCTTAACCGCGGCGATCTGTAAAATGGGGTTGGGTGGTGCATGGGGAGTGAGTGGCCTATGAATTTGGGTTTAGAACCTGGATCAGGCTACAGGGATATGGTAGGACATGAGAGAGCTTGATAAAGACCTCTGGCTTCTAGAAAATTGTTCAAAGACGTTCCTTCTGTAAGGGTCGGCAGTCGTGACCACGGCCATTGTGCCCTTTTGATTGTATCCTGCAGGCCGTTTTGGGGCCTGCCGGGTGGTTCGTTTTGAGTATTTACTGTTTGAGGGGTTTCGAAGATTGAGAGCCAGGAAGCGTGATGGAACACAGAGACCAAGAGCAGGCTGGAAAGTCAGAGGGATCGTTAATAACAGGATTTGCCTCGGTGCTCCTGGGATTTGCTTGTGTTGTGAAAACATCTTACGGATATTAAGATACAGCACACCTGGTGGCTTTCGGGGGACGTTGAGAACAATGTTTGGCCATTTCTGCTGCCAGAGGGTATGATGGCTTGTGACTCGGTGGCTGGTGAAAGACTTGGGGCACGTGTGACGTGGAGGCTGTGTTTAAAGGGCCGTGAGTCTAGGTCGAATGATGAATGAAGGGTGAGAATGTGTGTCCATCTGGGTGGTGGTGGGAAGAGCAGGGAGTGGTGTGTGACGTCCGAGGAGGTGCAGTGGCTGGAGCGGGCGCATGCCTGTCGCATTCAGCAACAGAACTGAAGGCAAGGTCTGCACTGGAACACGTTGGAAACCCTAGGAGGACAGACCTTCTCTGCCCAAAGAGAGTTTACTGCCAGGTAGGGGAGAGACAGTAGAGAGATAAGCAAATACAAAGCAGACTGTGTTTAAACCACACAGTGAAGTTAAAACAAAATGTGGTGGGAATGTAGAGGAAGAGGGGAGCAGAGAGCATCTGAGATGGGCCCAGAGGGGCGGGTAGGAGTTTGGAGGGGAACCGAAGGGCACTCCAGGTGGAACAGCATGGGCGAGGGTGCAGAGGCAGGGTGTGCAAGGGACGTGGAGAATGGTTTGCCTGGTGAGTCGGGAGGAGCAGGAAAGAACACCTGGAAAAATTCTGTTGAGAGAAGGCTTAATGCCTATACTTAAATACTGGGAAACTTGAAAAGTTTGAACAGATAGTGACATGATCCAGCTTTCAGAAAATTAATTTGGCAGCTGAATTGGGATGGATGACAATGTGTCAGGTGGACCTGCTCTGCCCCTTGATAGCCGCACTACTTGCCTTGACGAATTACTCAAACTCCCATAGCCTTAATTAGCTCATCTGTAAAATGGAGCTAATAATAGAGGATTTAAATGAGATCATCCAGATAAAGCAGAAATGTAAAGTGGTAGTAGGTATTAATGCTACAACCACATTAACGCCAGAAGGACCAGTTGGAAGGTTGTTTCAGACGTCTGCTAGAGGAAGTGAGGTTATGAACCCGGATGAGGACTGTGAGGTTGCAAAGGAAGGAGGAAATAGTAAAGACACTAAAGGAATGGAATGTATGGGTTTAAGTAGGTTAGATGTCAACTCTGGGTGACTGGAGCCAAAGACAAGATGACCTGAGAGTAAAGGGAGTGAGGCAGGGTGGGAGGTGCGTGAGGAGTGGAGAAGGTTTGGATGGGCCGCTGCTTCCACAGGGGTAGAGGGGACCCAGAGCAGCAGGGCGTGGAGGAGCTTTGAGAATATGAATTTACGATGGACCCTAAAGTACTTTCTTTTCTTTTTTCTTAACTTTCTCTAACAAACTCTTTGCAGCCCAAGAATGGAGGGTGGAGACAGCAGTGTGGATCTTGGGCCAGTGCACTCGTGAGCAGGAAAGGGGTGTCTGAGGGTAGGGGCACAGGAATTTCAGGGTGGCGATGGCAGTGGAGGTGGACATTGAGGCTGCTGCTTGTGGATCCAGCCTGGGACAGCAAAGGGTGCAGAAGCAGTGAGGAGGGAGCACCAGGGGCTGACGGTCCTGGTGAACAGGAGGAGGGTGGGGCTCCAGGGAGGCCCTGCTGCGGTGAAGGCTGAAGTCAGACCGCAGTTTTTAAAAATCAGTTTAATTGGCGTATAATTTACATACGATGAGATACACCAATTTTAAGTGTACAGTTGAATGCCTTTTGATCAGTGTCTACACCCGATGTAACTACCACCACAGTCAAGAGCTGGAACATCTTTATCGCCCCAGAACCTTCTCATGCCCCTTTGCAGTCAGCCCCCCACAGCACTGACCCCAGGCAGCCGCTGACCTACTTCCCGCCACCGTAGATTAGTTTTGTCTGTTCTAGGATTTCATATCATGGAATTGTGTGATGAGTGTGTACCCATTCACCTGTTGACGGGTCACCTGCATTTGGGTTGTTAACAGTCTGCCCCAGTGTGCACAGTCTCTGTGGGCGTGAGTTTTCCCTTGATGACCTTGACTTTGATTTCAGCTCCTCTTCTTACTGACTGTTGGCTCTTGGGAAAGTTCCTCTCTGTGCCTTTGTATGAAATTTATTGCTAATAAATGTATGTTCAGAAGGTCACTGTGAATATCAAATGAGAGAGTCAGCAGAGCTCTTAGAACAGTGCCTGGTATACAGTCAACGAGCAGTGAGTAGCAGTCGGTGGTCCATTTTCCTGGGACCTCACTGGAGACACCACATGGTGGGCGGCATGTTGCTTCCCAGGTGGACTTGGAACGCCTTAGGACACAGCAAGCCAAAGCCACCAGATGTGGGGAGCAAGTCCCAGTTGGCACTTTCACGTAGCTTACCCCTCACCAAACGTTTTGTGGTAGAACATGTTCCCTGCCCTCTCCAGAGAGCTGCTGTGGCTGTGATGGATGTCATAAGAGAAAATCTATCTTCATGCCTCGTAAACGATAAGGAACCGTACAAATGTAATGTGTATTGTGTAGTCTTGGCTCTGCTGATTATTAAATAATAATGCTGCTATTGTCTTAAAAAAAATAGTAATTTATATATAAAGGTTTTGTTGAAAAGTTGAAAGCAAACTACCCAAAGCCCTGCCCACAGTGAGAGATTTTCCCTGCTAGAAAGCGTTGCAGTAAGTGTATGCGTGTGTTGGGAGCTCCCCCCTTAGCTGAAGGCAGTGCTCGCGGTCTGCAAGTGCTCCTGGGGGACTGGGGAGGGCCTGGAGTTTCTGGCTGTCTTTGGAAGGTTGATTTAATAAGGATTCCAGGAAAACCAGCCTCCCTCCTTCTCTCCCCCTCTTTCCCCTTCTCTAGTTCAGGATCTTGCATAGTCTAAGCTTGTTTCAGATCAGGCATGGGGGCGGGGAGGGAGCTACGTGGATAGGCTGAGGCTAGAGCATGGGACGAGGGGTGGCCGACCCCTTTAAACCAACAACTACCAACTTGAAAGACATTTTGAGCTTAGGAGGGTGTATCTCTCTCTCTTTTGGGATAAGACTTGAGGGAAAAGCAAGTGAGTGAATCCAAAGCTGCTTGTGAGGCCCCTTCTGGCAGTTGGGAGTGGGGGTCCTGTCCCCTTTCTCAGCAGTAAGACGGGTTAGACACCTCAGACCCTGCGCTTTACAGGACAGTGTGTGAGACTTGTAGTCTCAAGACACCCGCCTCCATCTCCGAGCCCTGCAACTCATAAGTGACTTAATGGGCTGGGGTTTTACAGTTCCTCCCACCCACCCAGATTTGAAGAAGTCTGGTGGCCACTTGAAGGAGGGAGAGGTGACACTTGATGGAAAAGCTGCACATTTCCCTTTCTGGCTGCAAGCCCCCTGGATGCCGTGCCTGTGCCACAAAGCAGGGCTTTGTCTCTGTGTTCTGTAGAAAGAAACCTGTGCCCATGGGGGACAGGCTACGGGTGGTGCCAGAGCCATTGCCCAGCTTCCAGTTGTAGGGCTCTGGTGACCCCTACCACGGCGGGGGGGAGGCCTGCAGCTGCCTTTGGCCTAAGGGGGTGTGCATTTCAGCCTAGCTGCAGTCGGGTCTAAGGTAGGTAGCTTCCAGAGGGTGTCCCACTCCCAGACATGGCTGTGATCCTGCTGGCTGCAGCAACCGGCATGGCCTAAGGACCACTGTCCTGTGGCTTCCCTGGGACACATCCAGGATGCTCCCCAGCCCACCCCATCCCTAGCATAATTTCTTCTCATGAAAAGAACCTGTTTACTTCTAATTCACATTGGATAGTTAGAGGAATCTCTTCCCCCTCTTCCAGGAGGTGAGTGGAATTACGCGGCGCAAAAGGTGATGCTGAATGACCCACTTGAGAACAAGGGTGGAGGATGTAGGTCTGTGGAAGCCTTCAAGGTGCTCCGCTACCAGGTTTCCCTGGAGGATGTGCTCTGGCCCACATCACCCTCCCCAAAGGGAAGTGGCTTTGCAAGGGTGTCTGCCAGTGCTGGAGGGTGGGGCGGGGAGGACCCAGCTCTCATCTGTGAGAGGATATGAGGACGCTCACATGTCCTGCTTGGCCAAGCTGGGCAAGTGCAGCAGGGGGGGGGGGGGGGGGGGGGGGGGGGGGGGGGGGGGGGGGGGGGGGGGGGGGGGGGGGGGGGGGGGGGGGGGGGGGGGGGGGGGGGGGGGGGGGGGGGGGGGGGGGGGGGGGGGGGGGGGGGGGGGGGGGGGGGGGGGGGGGGGGGGGGGGGGGGGGGGGGGGGGGGGGGGGGGGGGGGGGGGGGGGGGGGGGGGGGGGGGGGGGGGGGGGGGGGGGGGGGGGGGGGGGGGGGGGGGGGGGGGGGGGGGGGGG